ATTATTATTATTATTAAGAATGATAAAAGTTGAGTTTTTGATTTCAGATTTTTAAAATGAAATTCCAATTACTCTTATATCATTCAAATAAAGCTAGCTAAGGAAGGTTAAACAAATGAGTAAATCTATATTGATATTCATATTTTTAACTAAGATTCCCATTTTTCATAGACATTCCATTTTATATTGTTATTTTTGATAATTTTGAATATTTCTTATAAATACTATATAAAAGTTGCATTATTAAATTATATGTTTACATATAAATCTTAAAGTTTGATAATATCTTATTTTTTAAATTAAAAATAGAGTGATCTGATTGTTTTGAATAGAGTTTAAAATCTAAAAGTTTTGAATTTTAATCACTTTTAAAAAAGAGGCATTTGTAATTTAAATGAGCTTATCAATATAGTTTTCGATCAGGCCAATTATTTTGTAATTACTTAAAATTAACTAAATACATTAAAAAAATTATTTAAGATTAATCTATTTTCTATTAAATTTGCTAATATATAATATTATCTAAAAGAATCACTTAAAGTAATATGATATATATTAGTTATTTTATATTATTATTTTATTAAGGTTAGAATATATCTCCTAAAATTGTAAAAATTCTAAAAAATTATAGTTATTTCAAATTCAATGATAGTATTTTTATTGAAATTAATTTTTAGTTCTACGTTTCTAAAAATAAGGATATTATTTACATAAGTAAGAGTCTTAATCAAATTAGAATTAGATTAGGAAAAAAAATCATCAGTTTCAAACTAATTTATTGATTTACATTATTTATTACTCTTTAAAAGTGTATCCAAAAATTAGATCTTCTATGAGAATATTACTTTTATTGAATTTTTGTTTTTCATAATCTGTCGAATGGACATTTAAGGCCGTTATGAAATCTTCTTAAGAGCAAAATAAATTAATTGGAGCTATTAGGTATTTTTCACAATTATTAAGATTAAAGCTATTAATTAAGCTTCCTAATTCTTAATAAAAAAAAAAATAGTCTTAATCATCAAAACCTTTTAAACATTGGTATGAAACTCTTTTTATTTATCATCCTTATAAAAAGGATTAATTAATTAAATTTCTTCTTATGACCCAATATTACATAATGCGAGATTTTATTAACATTAGATATTGATAAATGAAAGTTTAATCAAACCTTAAAATTAATATTATGATAAACATTGTCTTCTTTCTTAATATTGGAAATAACATCTAAATTAATTACGACCATTTAAATATTCGCATTCTAAACATGAATCAGGATAAGCTTTGATACAGATTTCATTTAGTAATTCATATCCTTTTGCACAAGAAGTACATATAATTTCATAATCATCTTTGTCTTCACTCTAGGCTTTATTGCCTCGAAGATTAATATTTTTATTTACATACATTTTGTTTTAAATCTTATTTTTTTTTAATTATTTATGAAATTTAAAACTTTTTGCAAAATAAATTTAAGAATTCATGAAGTTCAATCATTAAAAAGGAACTTTTAGGATTTAATTTTTTAAAAACTTCTTTAGAGAGAAAAGGAAAAAATTAATTAATACAAAGCAGGGTTATCATGATTTAGAATACAGAATTAATAGTAGCTAAAAATATTGAAATATAAAAAACCATATTATATAATAAATGTATCAAATTTTTCAATATTGTTTGGTTTATTACCTGCAGCTAATAATTAATAAAAAAGCAGATAGACAGGAAAATAATTTAAATTTATTTTCTTGAAGTTTTTAATTATCAAAAATTCATCTTCAGTTTTAAAAAATAACAATTATAATATTTTACACATTATTTAATACTTTGCTGTATTGTAATAAATATTTTAAATGACTGATTTTTAACTTTGCAAGAAGCTATTTTGCTTTGAATAAAAATGGCAGGAACATGGTACTATAAATATTGAGGTTGAAATGTGGGATTAGATCAAAACCTAAATTACAAAGATGAAAATTTAAATCATTAAAACTCAAGATAATGAAATCATTTATGTAAATGATGGAATAATTTTGAGAGTGTGAGAATATTTTATATTTTAATAATAGCTAATCACTACAAGATGTTTTAAATAATCCATAAAATTTTACTAATCTGGAGTAGATCTAAAAACTTCAATGGAAAAAAGAAAATGAAATAAACATGATGAAAATTGTGAAAAGTATGGCTTTTTGGAATGGAAAAGTTCTTAAAGATGTTGGTGGATACTTCCTTGATGGATAAAAATAGGGATTTTGGAGGGAAATAATTGACAATTATTGGAGGTAAATTCCAAAATAAAATATTAAAATAGTTAAGCTGAAGTATATGTAATTGGAGAATACAATAAAAACAAAAAAGTTGGGGTATGGAAATACATATTTCATAATAACATTATGTTTTTATTTATTAATTATTTAGTGGCCTTGGATAATATAATTATTAAGGTTAAAGAATCGCAAAGTGGATATAGTTGAGAGATAGATTTTCGAAGTAAAGATAACGGTGAATATTTTAGTTGAAGTTAAATTACATATATTGGTGAATATTAAAATGGTTA